AGCGGGTTGGGCAAGTGGAGCTGTGGACGTGGAACCCAGTAAGACCAAAGGGAAGGTGTGGTCACCTTTTGTCTCCCCCAGCCCTGGGCAGCTCTCGGCACTCTCCTCTGTATCTTACAGATGACGGGAGAATCTGGGAAAGAGCAAGTGTTCAATCTAGTTAGCATTTATTGAACACCAGCTGTATGCCAGACACTGGACACACAGAGATGAACAGGGGTCCTGAGACACAGGCCTGTTCTTGCCCACGGACTAGGAGTGCCCTTAAGTTTTATATTCCCCATCATTATCCATCCATTTCTGGTTCTATAACTTCTCATTAAGACTAATACATAACGGTGACTTCAAGTCTAGATGGCCTGACAAGTGTTTAAATAGCATCTCCTGAGTTGTTACCAATGCAAAGAGATGTCCAAGTTCTGTAAGACCAAAGTTTGTTCAATGTTAAATTAGATGAAGTAATAAACTCCATGTCTTTCAGCAGAAATCAGAGCACATTAACTTTGGTGATACTCAGTCCTAGTTTCCACCCCCCCTAACATTCAACAATCATAGTTTGGCTGAATAAATGATTGGGCAAATGAATAAACAAGCTAATTAGTGACAAAAGCAGCCAGACCTTCTCACCTATATTTTATATATCCACTGACATTCTACCAAGGGCTAAGTAAGATCCTTCTGTGCCACAGAGAGAAGTCGTGAGAGGAACACGTGGGCTCTTGTCCTCTTCAGACCATGCATGCAGCCCAGCTGAGGTCTGGGAACACTGGCCTGAGGAAGCCGCTAGCTGTCCCCCAACACACATGGCTTCAAGGGGACCAAAGGAATGTGAAATCAAAGTGCCCTGGGGTTTTGAGGTGCTGGATGGTGTGGGAATGAATAACACTGAAGAAGGAACTTGGATCCAGGAGATGTGGCTCAAGTCCTGGATCTAGTGCCTTACTAACAAGTCACAGCCCTCCCTGAACCTCAGTTTCTTCATTTGTAAAAAGCTTAAAAAGACCCTTTTTGTGGTTTGAATGCCCCTTCCAACATTAATTTAATTGTAACAGTATCAGGAGGTGGGACTTCAAGGAGGTGACTGGGTCATGAAGGCACCACCATAATAAATAGACTATGGCTGTTATGGCTATAGTGGGATAGTTATGGCAGGAGCAGGCTCCTGATGAATGCATGAGACCAGCTGATTTTGTTCTCTTTTTTGTGTGTGCATCCTGTTATGTGATGCCCTCTGCCATGTTATGACACAGCAAGAAAGCCCTCACCAGATGCCAATTTCTTGGACTTTGCAGCCTCTAGAGTTATAAGAAACCTCTGTTCTTTATAAATTGCCCAGTTCAGGTATTCTGCCATAGCAGCAGAAAATAGATGCACCTGTGTCTCAGCAGGTGGTTTCGGGACCTCTTGGGGACCCAAACCTGCACACACTCACATATCCTTTTTATGAGATTATGAAGATTAGATGAAATAATAAACGTCAGTGTACTTTCTGAACCATAAACACCCTCAACGTGTAGGCCCTAAGAATAATAAAGGGTAGACGGTCAAGACGGCAGTCAGAAGGTAGTGGCCCGGGCCCCCTAGCCAAGGTCCAGGATGAGAGGTCTTTTGCTGAGCCAGCTGCCTGACACTGCAGTACCATCTCCCTTCCCACCCTCCCTCCCCCGCCCTCTATCAACACCGAGAGCTGAGATGTTGTGCAGCCTCAGCTCTGAGGCATGGTGTCACGCTGCAGCATCTGTCACTCAAGAGTGCACGGAGTCAAATGTGAGGTGACACCTGGAGATGAGGTGGGAAGTGAGGGCTGTCAGCTGGGACTACTGCAGGTGCAGGTGTCAGGAAGGCAAAAGGGTATTGGAGAGGGGGCTGCCTGGGGCAGGGGTAAAAACCTCCAGCCCTGGATCAAAGGGCATGATTCAAAGCCCTGGCTCTGCCACCAAGAAGCTGGTGATCTGGGGCAAATAGCTTAACCTCTGGGAACACAAGGTGACTCACTCCTGAAGTCTGCTCTGCCTGCCTCTCCAGGTTGGCAATACAACACGTTTCTTCAAAAGGAAGACCACCCCGCCCCCGTGATGGGGGTGCCCCATAATGTAATATACCACTAAGAAAGAAAGGAAGAAACATGTCACCAATTAAACTCCAGCATGCCACCACTGCAAGACACAGGCCGGCTTCAGAGATGGTGTGCATCCTAGGGGCGATGCAACATGGCAGATGGACACCCTGTGTGAACGTAGGACTAAACATGATCACCCACTCCAGAGGAGTAGAGCCTGTGGCCCTCAGCAGGGATGCAAGAGTGCCACCCCTTTGCCCCGAGTCCCTTCACATGTGAATGAATTAAGGGGAAGGAGACCTGTGGATGCTGGGCAGAAAGCTGAACAGTAGGTCTGGAGGGGGCCAGGAACAAAGCCTATTGGTTCAGGTGGAAAGGAGGGGCCAGCGAAGCCACCACACAGCCAGCGGAGTCTGAAGAGCCACTAGGAGGGGGAGATGAGAAGGCTGGGCAGAGAGCCAGAGGGGACAGCTGACCTGCACCAGCTCTCGGGCACCACCTAAATACACAGGCAAGGAACCAGGGCCTTCTCCACAAAAAAGCCCTGCGGTCCCCATGAATCCACTCCTTCAAAAGTGTGACAACCCTGACAACAGTCCACTTTGGTCTTCTCTTGTCCAGTCAAATGACCTGGTTCCTCACCTCCCTTCACCCATCACCCTTCTCAGACCCCACACCAGAACATCCACGTCCCCCTGTGAAGTACAGATGACCTGTGGCATCTATAGCAGGTGGTTTCAGGACCTCTTGGGGACCAAAACCTGCACACACTCACATACCTTATATAAAACGGCATAATATTTACACATAACTTATGCACACCCTCCCTCCTGCACACTTTAAATCATTTTAAATTACTTATAATCCCTAAGACCATTAAATGCTATGTAACGAGTTGCTCTAATGTGCTGCTTAGAGAATAATGACAAGGAAAAAAGTCTAAGCATGTTCAGTGCAGACTCAAGTTTTTTTTTCCAAATATTTTCTGTCCCGGCTTGCTTGAAGCCACTACTTAGAATCCACAGACACAGAAACTGAGTGCACTTTACCCTGTCAAAACGTCTGGTAAAATGTGACATACAAAAGACATATGTTAGAGCATCTTTAATCATTATTTATCACAGCAAAAAAAAAAAACAGAAAGCAATCTAAGTGTCAAATAATCACAAAAACGAGAAGCTGTGTATGTCTATTTAACGAACTGCTCATCAGTCATTATAGATTTTTACCAAAATATGGAAGAAGATGCAAGATGCATGTACTCTATTGAGAAAGGCAGCAAAATCACAAGCATCGAAAAGAAAGCAAACACCCCTAAATAATTAGGAGTTTTTCTTAATCCTTGTTTTGATCTTTCTGTATTGTCTTTAGTGGACACACAATGGTTTAGAATAAAAATAAATCGACTGGACAAGAAATTTCAAATGGTCTCTGATCCATATAGAACATAGCACAAGCCGTCTTCACATACACACATGCACCACAGCACTTTTCTCCCAGACAGAATCATAACATTTTTAAATGGCTCAGATTCTCAGGTAGCCCTTGCTTACATGTTATTTATTGTAGAGATGTGTAAGACACTGTCCAGGTGTGCCGAATTTTCTATGACAGTGTACTTCTGCAACACTATGCATAAAATGTATCTTCATTTACTAAAGCATATTAAAATGTGGTTTTCTTTTTTTCTTTTTAGAAAAAATAACCTCTATAAGATCCTTTGGTGCAGCAACGGATGATTTTAAACATGAATGTCACCACTCTTCATCCATTCCCTTCATTAAAGTTGTCCTGCTCGTCAGCTATATTTTGATGCATTTTATCTTCAGCTATTTCACTTTCACTTAATCACAACTGGTCTAAAGGTTAAAAATATCAGTCTTGTTTCTCATCCACAAGACAGTGAACAGATGCAGTGGCTCCCAAGCCTTTCCTCTTCCCAGATTCTACCTCCCCCTACCCTGACTATTCCCCGGGGGAAGCTCCTCTTTTCTCCCCTCTCCTTTTGGTCAGTTCATAGTGGTGGCTCCATAGTTCTTCCAACTCAGCTTTCTGTGCCCTCTCTTCTTTGCCTCTCCAGGTTGTCTTGCTGTCTGTTAGGCAGCTGGATAAGGGAATTTCCATGCCGCACCCCTTGCTGCCACACCTACGTGGGACTGCTCCTCTCCCACGGGCCCAAGAGCCACTTGACACAAAGCCCCACAGCCACGGAAGCCCCATGCAGCCTGCCCAGCGCCACCACTGCCATGGTCCACTGCATCTGCTGCCAATGGCCCTGGGTCAGCCCCACGTCCTCACAGTCAATTCATATCCTAAGAGAGATTTATCAACTATTTAACTGAACCTACTGCCTTCACATATGCTCTGTGACACTGGGTTGGTCCCAATATTATATTACTATATTAATTTCCAAGGAATGACTTGTCAGACATTTTAATGTAATTCAATTTTATTCTATTGATAAATCTGCAGATCATTAAAAAGTTTCATTGTCAGTACCTGAGTCTTAACTATCAGTTCAGAAAATATGGTTGGGGTCTTCTCCAAGCCCCAGGAAAACTGCGCTTGCCTGCATCTTTGGCCTCTTCCTGGGAGTTGCCTCCCAGGCCAGGGCAAGCTGCATGCTCCAGTGAAAGGCACCCTCCCAGGAAAATGGGTATTCAGCCAACCAGCCAACCAAGAATGGGAACCCAGGGCCGCCTGGGAGTCCCATGGTCTCTGCCTCATACCAGTTTCCACAGTGCCACAAATATTGCCCCTACCCCACACAAGGCTGGTCATCTAACAACCAGCCCCATGGGGAATCTTAACCTTAAACTTTTTCTTCTCCCCAGCTCCACAGTCTGCTCTCTTGCCACCTCTGGGCTCCCTGCACCAGCCATTTCATGACACCACAGGCTCCCCACACTCACAAAGAAGTAGAGTGAGGGAGAGGACTCACCCACTGAGGACCACGATGAAGTCCATGACATTCCAGCCATTGCGGAGGTACGAGCCCTTGTGGAAGATGAACCCCAGGGCCACAATTTTGATCCCAGCTTCAAAGCAGAAGATCCCGATGAAATACGGTTCTGTCTTCTCCTGTGGGGACGAGGAGCAAAGGTATTAGTAAGCAAGGACTGCACTTTATCAGATACCCACAAAGGCTCACCCAGGGCACCTCCCACCCAGCTGTGCTGGGCCAGCCCCATGCAGATAGAGAGGGAGGTGCTGAAGAACACAAAGAGACTGGGGCTGCAGATGTTCTGTGCCTCGTGGAGTACACAGAGCAAGGGGCCTGATGTAGAAATGGACAGGTGTGGGGCCACACCCAGGGACTAGACTTCTGCCCGCTGAAGGCCCCTGACAGCAGCCCTGGCTTTGCGCTGAATGAGCTGGCTCTCCACCACTGGTCTGCACACCAGCTGAGAACTTCAGGGCTCTCGTGCCCACATAGTCAGGCTGCAGCCACTCACCCACACATGTGGGTCTGAAGTAGTCTGTCTGCTCTCTTGAGGGGCAACATGTTAGGCAAGTAAATCAGTTCTTAAGGGAGAATTTGGACTTTGGCACTTAGCAAGCTCATAACCACCAACACACACACACCTTGAGCTTGCTTTTCCTCTCCCCTCCCTCCCCTTCTCCTCTCACTTCAAAAGTCCCTTAGGAAAGAGGAACGAAGCCCGTGGCCCTCGCACCTGCCCTTTTTTCTCGCCTGGCTGCCAGGCGGTGTACACACACCCGTCTGCAGTGCCCTCTCCTCCCTGTAAGTCCCAGTGGGGTTTGTTGCTAACTTGTCCCTCGGCAAAGAACAAACTCCTCACAGAACTGTCAGGGGGTGGGGGGAGCAGGGAGGGCAATGGAAACAAGGAAAGGGAGCCAAGGAAGAGGAAGGGAGGGAGAGAAAGGGCTAGAAAGACAGAGCACATACCAGTCTTCGGGACATGGGCGTCTTGTCATCCTCTGGAAGATGCTGCTCCAGGGCCAGGACGATGCAGTTGGCGATGATGGTGGCCAGGATCATGTACTCAAACGGCGTGGGGAAGGAGGTGTTAAGGAACAAATTCACCTGAGAGAGGGGACACCCCCCTCCAAGATGATGGTGCACAGAGACAAACAAGCTTTACCAACCCCCTGGGCCCTCACAGTTTGCATGATCCGCGTTAGCAAGCAGGACAGTGCGTGGTCCTCAGCATGTGAAACCTGGTCATTGGCACTGGTCTAGAACGCAAAGCATCTTCTCCAAGGGAAGAAAGTAGCCAAGAATAATAGAGTCGGGCACAGGGCAGATACCCAGCCACTGAGTGCATTCCAAGACAAAGCCAGGAACCAACCTGGGCGGCAATGGTCAGGGAAGAGGAGAAGTACGGTTAACGCTGTAACAAGCCCCTGGATTATGTCATCTTGCTTCAGCAGACACCCGGTTGTGATCATTGCCCTGTGGTCATTACATCTTTCTCTACAACCTCTGCTTGACCAAGAGAAAGAAAAGTCCCCTGGAAAAGAAACCATTCTCCTCATATGAGCCCCCTTCTACTTTAATATCAAACTCAGAAAAAATACTTCATGGGACCAGGAGAAGATTGCTTCATACACACCCCCACCCCACCCCTGCTTACTTCCTCCTCAACTTTGACCTCTACAGGGAACAGAAAGACGTGGCATGAGTCTGAACTGAATTTGGCAAAGCCCAGCTCTCTAGGAACCAATGTTCAAATCAAGAAAATAAATGTGGGTTTTTTTTTCTGTTCTATCTTTCTGAAGACAGGTGAGGGGGTCTCTCTGCCTGTTTGAAAAACAGGACAAGGACTCAAGTCTGGCATCCTGACTCCTGCAGGAAGATTCTGCTGCAAGCTCAGGGAGGTGAGGTGACTGTTAGGAAAGAGGGACTCGCTGGCTCCCAGAGCCCAGTCATTCTGCATGTTGGGATTTCATTCTGCAACTATTGTTATGACAAACTCACATAAGCCAGGGTCACTGGTCTTGTAGAGCAACCTGTGCTCTGGAAAATTCCAGAATCCAGGCAGAAGAGAAGAGAAGCAGACCTGGCCAAGGGAGAGAAGGGCAGACCCCATTCTCCTGTCTCCCTGCAGACCCAGGCTGGCTTGTAGGGTGTACCCAGGGCCTAGATCACTCCCTTCTAGTAAAAAAAGGGCAAACCATGAATATGTCCCCAAGAGCCGCCCACCTCATCCCTTCTGTGATATTTGTGTCAATGACAATGTTACATGAGCCCTCAGGACATCTCTGGGGGAGGGTTGGACACCAGGCACTCTGCAGGCAGAGGCCAAGTGTATATCTAGATGCCAGTGGCCAAACCAGTTGCTCTGGACCTGGTGCTAGCACGGGAGGCTGCAGGGAGAGGTGTCTGGCTGCATAGGAACCTCAAGTCCTTTTCCTTCCTATTTGGCAGTGCCATGTCCTCCCTCTGTCACTATGCATCCTGAGTCACAGGCACTCTCCAGCAGCTGACTGTCCTTCCTTCCCACACATCTTCAGCACTCACTGAACCTCGACCCCAGGGACAGCTCTGCGCACCTCTGCTTCCCTGTGGTCCAGCCACCAGATCTGAAAACTGGACCCACTGAGCTTGCTTCAGCCCTCCCAGTCGGAAGGGAACCTCACGGTGTGGAAGTCCCTCAGCACCCTGGGCACTCCCCCTCCACGCAGCACTCTGGACACCAAGACCAGCCCTGAGAGCTAAGCATGCTGCAGGCACACAGCCAGCTTGCACCTGCACCCTCCCAGGACAAGACCCCACACACACACACACACTGTCAAGGCCACCAGAGTCCACTGATCACAGAGGAGGGCTCCTCCCCATCATGGTCGGCTCTCAAATGTAGAGTGTCAGGGGACCTGGTATCTCACAAGACCCCTGAACAGGCTATGCTCTCCGGAGCCTGGTAGAAAGACCCAGAATCCACAGACTTATCTGGCAAAATGAAGATGAGAACATGGCAGAAACCACAACCGAGGAACCTCTGCCCAGTCCTGGAAGCAGCGTAGGAGGTGGGTCCAGAAGGGAACCGCTAACACGCCTGCAAGTCCCCAGTGAATGATAACAGAATGAGCACATTTAGGGCACCACTCCTACCGTGTAGGCTCTGAAATATGAGTGCTATGGGAGGTCGCCACAAAATAAATGAAGGAATGCCTGGGTTAAGCAGAGGTAAGCAGGATTTCTTTTAATACCACTGTGTGCAGTACACACACACACACACACACACACACACACACACACACACACGACTGGGAACAGGACCCAGCATATCCCAGACTTGTTTTACCACACACCCCTTTTTCAGAGCATCTCTCAGAAGTGGTGTTCACAGCAACATACTTGGGCAGCCCTGATCCACAGGGCAAATCTCACTGCCAGTCCCCAAAATGAGGTGGAGAAGAAGGGACGGTGGCTCTGACTGGTGCATCTAGTGCCTCTTCCATATCATCCTCTGCCGCTGCTCTCAACAAAACTGTTCATAAAAGTATGGGGCTCACCTGGCCCTTCCCCGTGGCTAGAATGCACCATGCAAGCTCAGAAACCTGCTCAGTACATCTGAGAGCCGGGGCCTGACCTGGGAGGCAGACCTGGGAATGAGCATTTCCTCACTGAGCTACAGATGCCACTGGCTCTGGTGGCACTGCTTGGGTCTGTGATGCTTTGTTGAGTCTTCTTCCCCTAAGAGCCTGAGAGCGGTAACCACAGCCTAGAAGCACATGAATTCCCAGGTGCTGAGACTGCGGGCAAGACAGGTCCTGGCAGCTGTGCACCTCTGAGGACACTCTGCCCAATAATGCCTGCTCGATGGCTGCAGCTCCCCTGCCAGCCTCGCTCTCTGCCCTCACTCTCCCCTCCACAGTCTGTCCCTCCCCGCAAGGAACTTTAAGTTCATCTAGTCCAAATGAAGACGTGAGAGGCTTATCCGGAAAGTGCGGCCTTCACCCCTGAAGGACACTCAGCACAGGAGGAGGGCCCTTAGACCCAGTGGCTGATGAGTTAATTCCCTGTCACTGTCCAGGTATCCGATGGTTGAAAAGTCACAAGGTCTCCAAGACTAGTACTGCCCAAGGCCCCAGAGACTAGAATCAAAAGGTGGGAGTTGGGTAATTCACAGGCTCTGGAAGGACCCTAGTCCCCCTTCCTGTCCCAGACAAATCCTCTGCCTGCCGTCTGATGTATCAGGACCCATTAGAAGCAGCAATGCTTTGGCTTAAAATTTTACAATTGCACACGTCCTGGAGAGGGATGTCCCTTTGAGGTTTTGCAGATCGAGACCCTCAGATGAATTCATTCTAGGATGTACAGAATGTGAGGTGAGCCAGGCACGGTGACACCTGCCTGTAATCCTAGCAGCTTGGGAGGCTGAGGCAAGCAACTTAGCAAGGCCCTAAGCAACTCAGCAAGACTCTGTCTCTAAATAAAATATAAGAAAGGGCTGGGGACATGGCTCAGTGGTTAAGCACCCATGGGTTCAATCACCAGAACCAAAATATATCTATATGGTGAGATTTTGATGCGGAAACAAGATGAGACCACAGAGATCCCACGTGTCTGTGGGCTAGGTGAAGAAAGGGGAGGAACCAGAAAACTTTGGGGAGAAGATAGGTAGAAAGAAGAAAATAGCAACATGTCTGGGCCCCAGCCACTCACCATTGCATCTTTTTAAAAATTGTCTTAACCTCTTTTCCACTTCCCTTTCTGAGGAAACCATCAAGAAAAGACATCATACATCTTGGCACTTTTTCTGTCTCCTGTATAGCCTTTCTCCCCCCCTTCTGCTCAGGCTATGTCCAAGCTGAAATGTCCCTGTGAAATTTCTCCTTGTACCTCATTTCTCTTCACATGGCATTTTTTATTATTTATTTTATTTATCTCCCCACAAAAGTACAATGTAAAAGCAGGCATTTGCCAGGTGTCATGGTACACATCTATAATCTCAGTGACCCAGGAGTCTGAGGCAGGAGGATTGCAAGCTCAAGGCCAACCTCAGCCACTTAGCAAGCCCTATCTCAAAATTTAAAAATGGCTGGGGCTACAGCTCAGTGGCAGAATGACCCTGGGCTCGATCCCTAGTGCTAGGGGAAAAAAGAAAACAGGTGTTCATCATCTCTTTAGTGGCAGTGCTCAGCAGAGAGCCTGGTACATAGTAGGAGCTTAATAAATGTTAAATGTAGAAAGGAACGGTGAGGTGTCCCCTGGAGGAGTAGCTCCATGAAGGATCCATTGTAAACACAAGTGTGGTCACCGACTCTGGCTCAGACCAGGGCTCCTGCTCACTCCCATCTCTGCAGGCTGCCTCCCTTTCTTCCTGCCAGTCTTCATCACAATCACCAACAGCTTTATCTCCATACACATGAGACATGAGGCATCAGAAAATTACATTTATGAGAGATTAGGATCATGATTAAAAGCTTTGGCCCAGGAGTCAGACCACCTGAATTCGATTTCTGACTATCTCAGTGGCCTTGAATTGATTATTTAACTCTGAGCCTCGGCACTTTTATCTGAAAATGGGAATGCTACTATACATCTGATATAGCATATGGTGGTTGAAGAAAATAACTCATGAAACATGCTTAGCATAAATTTTTCTGTTATTAGAATTAGCATCAAATACAATGGCATTGATTAGTTTTTCTTTTTGGAAATAGTCCCATACCTCTTCAATATACTTATTTCCTTTTTCAAAAGCAAGTATCAAAGTTCTTCCTGGGTTAAAAGTGTTGTCATTTGCAAACTTAAAATTTTTATTTTACCCAAATGTGAATACAGTGATCACTCTCTGTTGGTATATAAACATATACGTGAAAACAACAGGAATCTGCTCCAATAATGGGTAATATGCGATAACTACCAGAGGCTCTGCTGCGTCTCCAAAGGCAATAGCCTAGACTGCAAGTAATGGCCCCCAGGTTGAGCTAATGCACCTTGCAGGTGAGACTTGCAAAGGTCAAAGGATGCTCCAAGTCGCCATGGCCTCAAAAACAGCACCGATTCTCTGTCCAGGAATTCAATGACCTGCATTAATAATCT